GGAATGGGTAAACGGAGGAATAGGTAGGTTGATGAGTGACTGGATGGGTGGGCGATAGAAGCATGGACAGATGGATGGATGGACAGATGGATGGGTGTATGGATGCATGCATGGATGGGTAAGTAGATTAATAGGTGGATGGATGACTAGGTGCGTAGATGTGTGAGTTGGTGAATGGGATGAATTGTATGAATGCATGGACGGTTCTGTGAATGAACATAGATGAATGGAAGGATGGCTGGATGGATGACTAGGTGGGTAGATGGGTGAGTTGGTGGATGGATGGGTGATAGAAGTATGTACACACAGATAGGTGGGTGGGTGGGGAGTGGGTGGGTGAAGGACGAATCCCTGAAAGGAAAGAGAGAAGCCAGTGAAAGGCTTGCTTGGGCGACAGCGTACCCTCTCGCTAACACGCTTCAGCAGCTCTTCAGCTTCTTCCATGGCCGCCATCTCCCTCTGGTACTGGCTCTCCGTCTTCTTTTGGGTTTCCAGGTCACATTCGGCCGTCAATGCCACCATCTTCCGATCATACTCCTCCTGGATTTCATTTTCCAGCAACAGAAACTCTTGTTTGAAGACCATGCCCATCCTCCGCTCTGCTTGTGGAGAGAGATGGCCCCTGCTGGTCAGACTTCTCAGGAGAAGGGCAATGATATCTTTGCTGATTTGGGTTCGACAAGCCTCCAGATCGGAATCAGCTTGATTCAGGGTTGCAATCTCCAAGCTGGAAGACACAAAGGTTAGGAGAATTCCATTACATAAAATCACAAAAGAAAACAAAGGTCCCCGAAAGCGTACGGGACTTAAGTTTTCTGTAGGTAAAATAGTTTATGCTTGCTTTTCCCCTCCTCCTCTTCCCTTACTCCCTGCTTTTTGCCCCATCCCATAATTGCAAGCTAGCCATCATTCATCTATCAGCTTGGCACACTGTGGTGGCTTGTGGGTTACTGTGATTCTGGAAGCTGTGCCATGGGTATTTCAAATATCAGCAGGGTCACCCATGATGGAAAGGTGTCAGCTGAGCTTCCAGACTAAGACAGACTAGGGAGAAGAAAAGGTGGGCTACTTCTGAATAGTCAGCCACTCAAAACCTTATGAACAGCAGCGGAACACTGTCAGATACAGTGCCGGAAGATAAAATCATTATGAACAGAATCAGAATATTGTCAGATATAGTGCCAGAAGATGAGACCCTCAAGTTGGAAGGCACTCAAAATACAACTGGGGAAAGCTGGCTCCTCCAAGTAGAATTGACTGAAACAACGCAAACAGAGGAAAGCTCTCAGGATCTTCATTTGCTAATGGGGCACAATCCAAAGGAGGAGGAAAAGCTGTAAACATCTATTAATAATTCAAACATAGAACGTATGAAGTATGACTCTAGGAAAATTGGAAGTTGTCAAACACAAATAGAACATATAGAGGTCTATATCCTCGGAATTCACGATCGGAAATGGACTGGTGTCGGCCATTTTGAATCTGACAACCACATGGTTTACTACTTGAGGAATGACAAATTCAAGAGGAATGGCATTGGACTCATCATCAAAAAAAATAATAATAATTTCAAGACCTATCTTGAAGCACAAAACTGTCTGTGATAGGATAATATCCATACTCCTTCAAGAAGACCAGTTAATACCACTATTATTCAAATGGACACACAAACCCTTAAAGCCAGTGATGATGAAATCGAAAAATTCTACCGACTTCTCCAGTCTGAAATTTATCAAAGATACAATCAAGATGTATTGATAATGAATGGCCACTGGAATGCAAAGGTTGGAAACAAAGAGGAAAGATCAGTAGTTGGAAAATATGGCCTTGGTGAGAGAAACGATGCTGGAGATCGCACGATAGAATTGTACAAGACCAATGACTTCTTCATTGCAAATAGATTTTGGCACCTAACAACAACAACATCAAAGATGACCATACACATGGACCTCACCAGATAGAATACAAACAAATCAAATTGGCTACATCTGTGAATTGTTGTTGTTGTTAAGTGCCAT